ATGTTTCAATACACTAAAATTATATAAATTTTCTCTAATGCAGATTTTTTTATAAAATCAAGTGCAATCCGGAGGCAGAACATATATTTAGATTGATCTGAACTTTTTAGCCATATGTCTTAAGGATATTTGCTCACTTTATATTGCTAGTACAATTTAAAATACTTTGGATACAATTTTATGGGGATTTTATGGGGACATCACGCATTCTTAAACTTAATTTAATTCTCAATTAATATGAAAAATATTATAGAGAAATATTTCAATTAAAAAATAGAAATAAAATCCATCCTATCAATATACTCAATTAAAAAATAGAAATAAAATCAATCCTATCAATATACATAGATTGTTGTTTATGGTCGTAAAGAGTCTGTTGTATTAAAGTACTAGGTTAATGATTTGTGGTTCCCAACACCATGTATTTCATAAAAATAACAAAATAAAGCAAAAAACATACACATTTGGTGTAACTATATTATAAAGATTCGAAAGATTATTAAATCCAAATATTAACCAGATATGTGTTGTAATGGTACCATAACAAATTTCACATGTAAGGTTTACAACTAAAATGGGTTTCCTAATGATAAAGAAACATCAATAATACATTACGATGTTTCAATAATTCCGCGAAATGTCGGTCTTTTAGTCTGTCTGTGTGTTTAATTTTAAGCTGCAGCGATTAAGCTACATCTTGATTCCGTTGATGTCAGACAAATGGTCTTCTTTAACGGCCAGATTAACATATTTACCAATATATAGAAAAAAAATCAACAAAAATCTGATTGTTAAAACAATAAACTAGCAAATTTTTTGGAATATCAAAGTAAACGAAATTTATTGAGGACAAATTTACAATTTTGACTATATATAAAAGGCTCACTAGCCGAATATCTTGATATTTAAGACTTACATAAATTGAACTTTTGTTTTGTTCACAATAAAAAATTTAATCTTAATAAGTGAAATGTATGTGTATAAAAATATTCACTAATAAATTAATAATAGAATAAATTTTATTAAATATCTACTTTTGTTCGGTCCTTACTTATTTTGGAACACTATATGCCAAAGACTTAATTAATCTGACTTTCAATTAGTTTTTTATTGGTACATAAATTTTTAGTGGGTGATTTTAAAATTTGGATTGCAAACGAACCTAAAAGTGAATACTCGTAACATTGTTCAGGTTGAGATTAATTTTTATTTTTACTTCTTTTTATAACTTTTATTTTATAGTTTTCAGTTTTTTCCTTGCCATTTATGTGTACATACACATATAAAGTTGTTGGTGGAATGTAGTTGTGTTTTTTTTTTGAATTTTAGTTTTTTTTTATTAATTTTATTCATGGTTTTGTGTTGCGCAAATAATTTCCAAGGTTTTGTAGAAGCACAAAACAAACTTTTTAATTTACATTAGGGGGCAAAAACTTTTTTTTTCTAAATCACACCAAAAAAAAAAAATTTTTTTTTTTTGAACCTTTTAATAAATTTTAAAGAGCATATTTTTTTATTTTTAATGCAACAAATGACCTTTAGCAAAAAAAAAAACTTTTTTTTTTTTAAACAAAAGTGGATTCGTTTATTCTTTGATAATTTTTTATTTCTATATATTGTACCTAGTAAGTTATAGTAGGCACTCACATAATATAAAAATTTAATTTAGATTCCAAAATAATAATATGAAATAATTTTACTTTCCGTATACTTAATTTATACATACATATATTATTATTTATTTTAAAATTTAATTTTCACAAAGTGAGTCATTGAAAAATAGTTTTGTTTTTTGTGTAAATGAAACTATGAACTAAAATTGAATGTAGGAGAAATAATAAATGCAGTATGCACATATATAATTATATATACCCATTCTTTACACTGAGACAATAAAACTATGAAAAATTTAGACCATACAGAACCTTAAAACTATACAGAACTATGAAATGACGAATTATTAGAATAAAAACTTAAAGTTTATATAAATGATTCAGATTACCTGTGTACTCAAGCACATTTTAAATTAAAAAAAAAAATTTTTTACTTAATCCTGTCACTGAAATTGACAGGATTTCAGTTAGTTTTGTGATGGCAATGAATCTTGCCAAAAAAAAAATAAATTTTTTAAAAGTTACACAAAAAAATAGAATGTATCTCTTAAAAAAAAAAGAGTGTTTTCCGAAAATTTCTTACCCATACATAATTTAGAATTTTTTAGATTTTTCTTTCATTTTAAATAATATTGTCATTGTGCAAAAATTACAGATATTTGTTAAAAGTTGTATAGAATGCTATTCTTTTTCAAAATTTCAAGACAGACATTTAAAAAGTTATCTATTCGTTTTCTTTGATATTATAACAGACTTATTTGGCGTCGAACTTTTTACTAAAAAACCTGAAATTTGAATTGAGCATATTATTAAAATAACAATAAAGTTCATTGTTTATGTATGTTTCAGTTCGGTTCTACTTTAAGCAGTGTTGTTATTTTTACTACAATTCTACTACATTTTGGTATTCTATACTACTGTACTACTACAAAACCATTACTTTTTTGCATTATTTCTAGAAAATGTCATTAGTATTCTTATTTTTTTATGAAAATGTTATTTGTATTGTAAATACAAAAACACTAGTACAACAAAAAAATTAAATTTAGAGCCTTATATACGTATTATAATTATAATAACTTAATAAATTTGGGGCCAGTTATTAAAACGTTATCGTGAAAAAATGTCTGACATTGAAATTTCATATTAACAAAAGCTCGCGTGGAAATTAATTTTTAATAAAATTACTGAAAACTCGCCGTTGTTATTTTCAATATGAATTATAAGCGCGAAGTTTTGAAAACGGGTACATTCAAGATCTATGTTTATTGAAAATTGTCTTGAATATAATTCCGCAAAATCACAAAAAAAATTCAAAATTATACTTCAAAATAATTTTATATAGTTAAACTTTAAGTGCGTGTTTTACATATGTGAATTGATAATACGAGTATACGAGTATAAGAAGATTTTGAAACAAGACAACGCGGTACGCATCAATTTATGTAGATGCCTTACTTTTTGTTTTAATGAAAAGCCAAAATTACTAAGCTAGAGCTCTCCGTACTACTTTTTTTGTGAGAAAAAGCTACTGAAAAACAGGTCGAAAATAACAACACTGTTCTCAAGCAGTACTCGTATTAAGTGATTACAAAATTAATTTTACATTTTTTTTTCAATTGCTTTATAATTCTCTTATCTCACTATTTCCATAGTATTATAATAATGTTTAATAACATAACTTACATTGTTATACACATATTTACATTGCTACTTTCTTTTCTATTTTCAGATTAAAACGTTAGCATCAAATTGATATAACAGTATAACATAAGTCTATGCAATTGTTTCGATTAAAAATATATAATAAATATAATCAACTAACAAACAATATAAGAACCGAAAACAAAAGTAAGCCATAATTAATGAAATCAAATTTTAATAAAAAATAATAAGTGTATTTAAAATAATTCTATTTAACAATAAAATATATTTTATATTTATATAATTATATATTTTAACAATTTCTATATTATTATACTTAATATCTGTATGTGCATGTATGTATAAAAATTAATTAATTTTTTCACAATATTAAAAACAAACAAAAAAAAAACAATAATGAATTAATACTATTGAAATTAAATAATATTAATATTTAAATATTTTAAAATTCATATAATATAGAGATTATATAATATAATAATAATGTATGTATAATGTAAATTCAAAGATTGTATTGTACATATGCAATCCTATATATACAATATAGTGTATTTAGTTATAATATTTTATATAAAATTTTTTAATTTCACAATAATTACAAATTCCATTTAAAAATTTTATATACATATAATTGATGACAATTAAAATATCATTACAATAAATGTGTAAAACTCAATTTCAACATATTATTATAAAGTAAAAATAAATAGATTATAAATGAATAGAAAATCATTAATATGTAAAAAAACAAAACTACAACAAAAAGTAATTGAATTGAAATATGTAATTGCATTAAAAATAAGTGATCAAAATCGCATTTTAAATTGAATAACATTAACAATAATATTGTTTTTAAATATGAATAAAAATAAAAATATTTAATATTAAAAATCATATACAATAATTAATCATATTACTATAAAACTCATTGTTTAATCATTTAAATGAAGTAAGTAATTTATGAAATAATAATAATGCAAAAATAAATGTTATTTTTAACAGTGTACCTACATTAATTTTATTTATAATGTAATAATCATTAATCAACTGTAACAGTGCAATTTTATTAAAGTGCATAAATTGACATTTTCTCGCATATAAACAAATTTGAAAAGTATTTGTTTTAATTAACCTTTTTTTACATATATATATAAGTATATACATAATCGTAAATATGAACTTAAGAATGTTCAAATAATTTTTATAAAATTATTTTTATTAAATTAAAAATTAATATACTCGTATAATATATGTATAAATAAAATAGTATAAAAAGTAATATAAAAAATATGCATTTAATTTTTTTTAGGTAAAATAATATTAATAAATATTTAAAAAAAAACACCCATAAAAAGTAAATCTGAAAAAAAAAATTTAATAAAAACTCCAAAGTATAACTTAATAGTTATGTGATTGCAAATTCTTTTAGTAAAAAAAAAAAACAATATTTTAATCAAATTTTCAATATAATGAAAAGCACTTACGTATATACGAGTAAAAATAATATTGTAAAATAATTAAATAAAATTTAAATTTGAATGAAGACTTGAATAACTTTCATAATATATTCTTATATTCTATATAATTGTATTCAAAATGTGATTAAAAATATAAGCAAAATTAAAATTACAAAAAAAAAAGATAAATTTGATAATAAATTGTAAAAATAAAACTACATTTATTAAAAAGTGTAAACGGAACACTAAAATTTTCTAATATTTAATATTAATTAAATTTTAAATTATTTTATATAATTTTTACTTTTTATAATTATTATTTCTATATATAATTATATTGTTTTTAAAAAGTACATAAATTTTTTTTTTCTAAATATAAATTTTTAATATAAATGCATTTAAATACAACAAAAAAAATAAAAACGTCATGGAAATGTCTCATTGGATTACAAAATTGTTCCTAGTTTTATTCTTATTGGATTATACAAGCGCCGGTGTCAAAGATGGTAAGCTTTTTCAATTAAAATAAATAAAATATTTTCATTAAATAAAATAATTAAGTTATTTTCTTAATATTAAGTTCCTTGACTAATTTACATCAAGCATTTTGTATCATAATGGTCTAAAAATAAAAAAAATATTTAAAATTGTACTTATAAAATAATAAAAATAAATAAACTTTTTAAAATTTAACTGCCCAACTCCCACATTTGTCAAAAACAATGACATAAGTCCAAATGCAGAGTCGTAAGCTTGCTTTTATTATTATTTAATGTATAACATTAACTTTTGTGTAACAAAACAAAACAGAAAATTTGTTCATAAACTTGTAAAATTGTAGTTCTATAACAACCTTTTTTAGCCTCTAATAGCAATTTACAATCGGTTATAAATTCTTTAAATTCTGGAAGTCGATGTTATATTTGTGAGTTGTGTCGTTATTCGTCGAAATGTTTGAAATGCATAATTCTTTGAAGGATTTGACAATGAGCCTTATTCCAGTTGTCGAAGTAGAGCGACAATTGTCGTCACGACTTGAATTTGATATTCTAAATGGCGATTAAAGTTACACGTGTCGTGGAATGGCGGGAAAATGTGTTTCAGGTATATTCCAGTTGTCGTTGTAGAGCGACACATGTCGTAGTGAAACGACGTTTTTTGTCGAAAAGTATTTAACAAGTGACAAGCGAGATGGATAAAATGTAAGTTTAAACAAAACAATTTAATAAAAACATAAAAAATAATAAATTTTATAATTTAATACATAAATTAAACCATATAATATATGGTTTGAAAGTCTGTAATAGCTTATAAATCTGTGAATAAAATAAAATGTTTGTAACTAATGTATTTGAAAAAATTATTATCTTACACTCCATTTGGCAAATCCAATGGATTAGAGCTGTTCCTAATCTTAAATCTTTTGATCCTTAATTGTTGCTTTTTTTCAATTTCGGAGTCTGATGAATCCATAAACCATAATGCAAATGACGACATTTTTTATTTCCCTCGTATTTAAAAAAAGAAATATATAAACCGAATTTTTTTTTAGTTTGAACTTTACTCGCCAAAATTTATTTTTAAAATGTATCAATTTTACTTGAAACGTTTCATTTTCGTTTATTTCTCGCCAGGTGACAGCGACAACGACAAATGTCACGTAAGTGACGCGACAACTAGAATAAGGCTCAATTTATCAAACCTAAAATTAAACTTGAATTAAAATATTTTAGAAATATACAATTGTGTATGAATAGCAAGTCAAAAATTTTGTAAAAACTGTTGAACTAAAACGGCATTAATACTACGGCAGAGGAAAAAAATTTCAGGTGTGGTGAAACAAAAAAGTTTTAAATATTTGGAGTACATCACATTAGAAGCTGAAAGAAATCGTTAACATTAAAAGTTTTTGCATTATTTTGGATCATAAAAGCAACCTGCGCCAAAAATTTTCATCCAAATAACTCAACACATTTACGTTGTATGTTTGAATATGTTATAGCATAAATTTATAGGATAAAATATAGTATAAAATTATAGCATAAAATTTTTAATAATAACAAAAAAAAGATTTTCTAGATAAATATCGACAATATATCTAAAATTTTTATTTTCCTATTTTACTACAATTTATAATAATTATTTCACTTGAAAAAAGAATTATTGAATTATTTTCATATTAAAATTTTGACATTAATTACATATTTATGTTTTAGGAAATTATAGTTCTTATGAATTTGCAATTTATATGAATTTGAATATAATGTAAACAAGTGGAGTAATGTTTATGTATGTACATACATATTATGTACAGGTTGCGAACGAAAAAATTCTCTAAAAACAAAATCTTCAATTTTGTGTTTGCATCTTACAATTTACAAATAAATATTTATAGCTGTTGTACGTTGCCCTTAATTATTAACTTTGCAGGATTTTGAAGGATATTATTTAATAATATTCTCAAGTTACACCGTATCATGAATAAATAGTCTACGACTCCCATTATGTAGGAATTAAGAAATACAATTAGAATAGAATTTTAATTTTTTCAGCGTCCGCTTTCATTAAGAAGATTCTAGTGCGAACATAGCTTCAAATTAAATTTTTTGTAAACTTTTAATATTACTAATCAAAAAATTATTCTTAGTAATAAAGAAACATTGTCTTTTTAAGATTTTTCTTGTAATTGCTCGGTCTTGTCCTCATTTGTTTCCTTTAATATAAATACACAGCAATGCCCTCACTTAAATAAACACAGTGGGATTTTAATAATAAATTTAAAAATAGTTATAAGCATTTATTTTACATTTTCAAAAAATAAATATTTTTTTCAACATAAAGATACTTATTGTCTATTCCGGATAAAATTAAACAAAAAAATACGACTGTAACTCACAATCTAAAATAAAATTTTCTAGAAGATTTTTCAAATGAATAACCTGAAGGCAATTGAACAATCAGAAAAAATCTAAAATTAAGTTACAAGGAAGAATGATAATAAAGATCAAAAATGGTTCCTTTTTTTTCGACCATTAGCAAATAAATACTTGTTTCTTGTTTATGATTTAGCTTTTTTTTACATTGAATTCAACTTAAGTACGCCTTAATACTGCAAACATATTCAAATCAGACTTTATTTGTTTTTGTTATTGGAATGAATAAGTGCCTAATTATTTAAAACGAAATTTTATATATAGATTTTTTTTTAAATACATATATTTGGAAAATTTGCTTCAGTTATTTAAAGTTATAAATAACTTATTTATTTTTTTAAATACTTATTTTACAGGAATTATACATTATATTTCTATATAATTCTATATTTTCATTGTCTAATCCCAATAATCAATAATAATTTTGCTCTAAGGTTGTTAAAGAAGATATTTTAAAGTTTAAGAAGCAAAAACGTTTCAGTTAATATTAACTAACTGTATTATACTCTACACTTTGGCAATCTGACTATAAAAATTTGCTTTTGAAATTTTTTAATTTAAATTTTGTGGTGGTACGGCAGCTACTCGAAAGAACAAATTCATTGCATAATGCAAACAATGCATACAAATTTTCAGAAAATCATATAAAATATAACTGGACATACTTTCACAAAATTTCATATTAATATCTTCACTACGTTTAAAAATATTTAAAACAATCTCTTTCAATAATTATGTGGTAGTTACCCGAACCTGTCATTCAAATTGGTTCAACTGAAATAAGAGTCGGTCTTGACAGAAAGAAAATAATTTCTAAAAGCTTGGGTGGTGGTTCTTTTCTCTATTCGTTTCCGAGGTATCGTACAATCGGGCGGAAGAAAGGGCATATCTAAATCCATGCAGAATTTTAAGCACATGGCTCATACCGCTAACTACTCTTTCAAGTTGTAGCAATTTTCATACTAATATACCCTTCATTATAAGGTGTAGGGTATAAATAATTAAATATGAAATAATTTTTTGATTGTGGACTTAATATTCTTAAGTATATAAGGTTTTTTCATTATTCGAATTCAGTAAGAATAAAATAAAGCAGTATGGAAGGCTCTTAATTAAATTTTTGCATACTTAATACAAAATATATTTATAAGCATTTATTTCATTTCATTATTTGATTTATATAAAATATAACTATAATATGTACTATATAAGAAATTTTGTTAAGCTCTTCAGTCAACTTGTATGTTATACTTATCACGTAATATTTCTGTAGAAATTTCTATAGCTAAAACATAATACGTCCTTGGAAATTTTAGAATAAAATGATTTTTTTCGAACTTCACAATTTTAAAATTAAATTTCTTTAAAATTTTCCGCGACGCTTCTTTAATTAACACTTTTCCAAAAGAAAATGTGAAAAAATTCTTAATTTTCAGAATCTTCATTGTTACTTTTAAAAACAGAATTTTCATAAAAATTTCATTGATTTGATGGTACATATTTTTACTGATCTAAATTTGCTAAAATAAATTATTCAAAAAGGGACAATTCTATTAAACTATTAAAAATTTTTAAATATTCAATTACTTGCTTTAACTATATTATATACACATACTATGTATTTAAATAACCACTAAATTATCATTTTCATTACATTAATATGATAAACGAATTAATCAAATTATTCCTTATAAACTTTAAAAGTTGACAGAATTAATTTTAAAAACAATTAGTTATAATTTCAAAATACCACTCTATTATACTTATATCTATCGTCCTAATATATTATACTTATAGTTTACTTTCCGCTATATTATATTTAAGTTCCTGTTTGTATGAAAGTTTTATCTTCATTTTACCTTGAAAAGTTATCCTAAAGAGCATACGATGACCAAAATCTTCTTTTGAATAAAAAATTCGGTATGCTTCATAAAGCTACATATACATACGTAAAATAATTTGGACATTTTTTACTATACATCATATGTGGCGGTATCTACGTAGTTTTCTATATTAACGAATCTAAATATGCACATAATATATGGAAATGTTTATATTGTGACATTAAATTCTTCTATTTTAATAGATATATATGTAGTCATTATAAAAACATAAAATATTATTAATAATATATTGAAAATTTATAATACTGTTAAGTATGTCTATTACATATTAAATATGTATATCAATATTTATATAAAAAATCTAATGTAGTCAGCACATAACCGACCTCATTGCGTGTATCGTTCATTGAAAGTATTGAAGAAGATTATTAAAATGTCTATTAAATACTACAAAGTTTTTCTTGGTCCCATTCGAATTCCTCGAAAAATTCCCCAGTAACAACCAGAACTCAAATATTAAATTTCAAGAAATTCCATCAATTATAGTTCAGTGGGGTAAAAAATGGTAAATCGTCCTCTAGGTCGGTTTCTATACCCTGATATATCCAAAAGTTTACAGGTTCATTTTTTCAACATCTCGAATTTAAATATTAAATTTGAACGAAATAGTCCAGGCAGTAGTTCCCAAGGCCTGCCGAAATAAGGTTACATATAAATTTTAATCAAACT